ATCATGTTGAAGTTCACATATGTACCATCATGGTGATCATTTCTTCTGTTCCTCATTTTTGCCCAGACCAATGCTATGCCGATGACAGCCAGTGCACAGAAGACTGAGGCGATCACCACGATAACTATGTGCCGTGCTGCATGCAAAGAAAGTTTCAGAAATAAAACGTCAGATTCTTTACAATTTGTTCGAAATGGACAATGTTTTTCTACGGAATTTGCATCTTCACAATCTGACAACACCAATTTTCTTTTCTGTTTACAATTAAATTCCCATCAACAGAAGCTTTTTTCTGAAAAAAAATTGAGATGAATAATTGAGCAGATCCTGTTGCTATCTCCAAAATTCAGACACGGCACGCACCTCGCCGGCCGTCAAAGTTTATCTCCTTTTTTGACAGATTCCCCGTGAACATTCATGAGCAAATTGCCACGATAAAGACCAAATTTGACAACGTTGGTACGAAATTTCTCAAGAAAAATGTGACGTGTCCTAAATTTCAAAGGGAAGAGATTAATTTAGATGGACTTACTGGATGACCCGGCGGCGGCGGCGGCGTTCGCCGGCAAGTAGAACGGCTGCGTGGAGTACCTGACGACGCAGCCGGCGTTGAGCCCGTAGCCCTCGGCGGCGCGCGGCAGGCAGCGCCCGACGACGCGGTCGCGCGCGGTCGCCACGCACGCCGCGCACGCGGTGGCGTTCAGCGACCTCCAGCACTGCGCCGCCGCGTACACCCGCGGCGACACCGACGGCAACGCCGACGCCGACGACGACGACGACGCGCTGTAGTAGTAGTAGTCCCTGGCGCCCGGCGCGGCCGCCGTGACGTTCCGCAGCAATGCGGCCGACGTCGCGGCGAACGACGCCGGCGAGGAGACGGTGGCGTTGGAGCAGACGGCGGTGTCGCTGGCGTCGGTGGCGGCGGCGGTGAAGTTGTCGGCGCCGTAGCGGAGGAAGCAGCCGTCGAGGTAGATCCGGCCGCCGGTGGCCGGGAGGCAGTGCGGCAGCTTGACGCGGCTCTGCGCGTAGCAGAGCTGGCAGTCGGTCGGCGAGAGGTAGCCCATGCACTGGCCGAGGCCGTAGACGGTGTCGGCGCCCTCGCCGGAGGCCGCGGCGCCGAAGCCGGAGCGCGTGACGTTCTGGTAGATGAGCTCCAGCGTGTTGACGAAGCTGACGTCGAAGCCCTCCTGGTCGGCCGCGGTGGTGTTCCCGCACACCGTGGCCAGTATCACCGGCTTGGCCGCGGCGCCACCGGCGTCGTCGGCCGCCGCGGCGACGACGACGAGGAGGAGGCACCGGAACGCAGCAGCGGCGGCGGCCAAGGAGCCCCGGCGTTGCATGGCGGCGGCGAGCATGGACTGCACGTGTGGGAGTGTTTGGTCTCTAGCTTAGCTTCTCAGCGTGTGATCGCCATGGCCGTCTCGGTTTTGTACGTGCGTGTTGATGACTAAGCTGAGAAAATAAAAAAGAGAGACGTCCCTCCAAACATTTTTTAAAATAATTATAAGCGTGTTAAAAATTAAGCGCGGAATGTTAAAATTAAAATCACACATTTCTTATCATTACACTATCAAATACGGAGTGCATCTTAAGTCTAAGCTGAGCTAAGGTCATTTGCACTGATCAGTAGCCGGATGGAATGGACCTGAAGTGGTTAATGTTTACATCGTATATAATAAATATGAGAAGAGAAAAACACCAGCAAATTTAAGTACAATTTGTGAATTTAGTTGAATATTTTGATTAAGATGTACTAGATTTTATCTTAATTTTCGTTAGCACGTTTTTTTAAACTACTAAACGGTAGTAGCGAAAACTTCTGTATAGAAGATACTACAAAAAACGTGCTTAAAATTTATCAAATATAAATCATTCGATAAATGATTTATCTATATATCAGATAAATCATTTATCAAATTTAAGATAATTAAAATTTAATTAATTATATGCTTATGTGAACTCAAACGAGGCCTTGTGATGACATCTGGATGGATGTACATAACCGTGAGTGCGATGCTTCACCAGACGGCCGCCGCCGGCAGAACTCCGGTGGCACCGGCTGAGGATGACGCCGCCGGCGCGGGCCCACTTTAACTCGCGCGCGTGACGTGACACTGACACGTACGTACGTAGGTGCACTGTATCTCTGCGTTGCCAGCTTATGCATATCCATCTCGGGGCCATCGCATTCTGTCTCTGTTTGATGCAGGTGCAGCAGTGAACAACACTAGTGTTACGTGACTACGTGTCTGCTGGCTTAATTACTACTCCCTCCGTTCCAAAAAAAGGTAAACCCTGGGTTTTTATGTCTAACTTTAACTGTCCGTCTTATATAAATTTTTTTTATAATTCATAATTTTATTGTTGTTAGATGATAAAACATGATTAATATTTTATGCGTGACTTGTTTTTTTAATTTTTTTATAATTTTTTCAAATAAAACGGACGGTCAAACGTTGGGCACGGAAACTAGGGATTGTCTTTTTTTGGGATGGAGGGAGTACACGTTGACGTTGTGGTCGCCGTCGTGCCAGCACGTACAGCCGCCGCCCCTCACCGGCCGGTCACCAGCCACCGCCGCCGCCAAGCACACGTGGTGAAATGTAAGTGTAATTAACCAAGAGCTAATTACAAGAGCAAACGTATTCCAGTGAACAACCAAATTAATCAATCAGTCGCGATGAAGCGAAAATGTCGTCTCGCTAGCTATCTTTTTCTTCTTCATAAATCTTTCACCTTTCCAAAAAAGATTGTATGATTGTCTTCTTGGATTTTAAAAATGTGCATGGTTTTGATTCATCTGTTACTGCTCTACTTGGATTTTTAAAAGATTAATTGTAGGATTGTATGATTGTCTTCTTGGAGAACATAGTTAGGTGGAAAATGATGGAGAAAATTATACAGAGATTAAACTACTTTATTACAGCCGTCACGGCGGATACTATATTATATACTAGTCTGCAACATATATCTAACCAAAGTTTTCAACGTTATTGAACTTGAATTCAAGCAATCTAGAAACGAAACGAATTTTTTGACTCGTTTTCATGCAGTCAGCAGCCTCGGTGCGCTTGGTTGGTGGTGGTGGTCTGATTCATTGTCTCGTCCGCACACGTGGGTCTAAAAAAAACATTCCACGGTACTGGGTATGCAGAGAAGAACAAAACAGTCCATTTCATCATCAATCTTCTTCTTTTTTTTTTCTTTTGATCATCTTCATCTAAGGTGCATTCATATTCGTCTCCTTACGTATTACTTCGCTATTGGCTTTTTACATAACGTTTAACTATTCATATTATTCAAAAATTTAGTATAAATATGAAAGTATAAGTTAATATTATAGTTTATTTTATAATAAAACAAGTAAAAAAATAAATAATATTTATATATTTTTTAATAAAATAGATAGTCAACATCACGTTAAAAATCAACGGTATTATATATTTTAGGACGATATGATGGGTATAAATAAAGGCCATGGCGCCCATGCCTTGCCCCAAGTAGGATAAATGTCACGCATGGATACATCGTGGTAAAGATATACTCTAGTTAGTAGTATAAAATATAGAGCAATATACACAAGTGAAGTTGTGGATATATGATTTTTCACATTCTTGTAAGTATAAGTATAGTTGTGCGTATCCTAAGTTGGTCAAGAGGGTTGAATTCATACTTTTATTGCTTTTTTAAAAGAATACCAAAGCACTGTTGTCATATTGTGGTAACAGTCTAACAGAGAGAGGGGCGCTCGTTACTCATAAGTAGAACTCTTCAACCAGCAGGAGCGAAGATTCAACAAAACGGCAATGCGTGAGTTAAAATTTTATAAATTGCTACAGCTTGCTTGATGTCTCCAACTTAATTTGCTCATCTCGTTTGATGTGGAAAATAAATGCAAAATCGTATTCCATGTTTGTAACTTGCTCGAAGTCAAAGTGTGCCCAATAAATACAATCATGCATGTAAAGATTAAGATCTCGCGGATGATGGGTCCACGCATCGATGGATAAGGAAGTCAGCAGTAGTGCAATCCTACTCACTCTTTTTTTTTTTAATATACGAGGTCGTTGAATTTTTTTATACTTCTAACCATTCCTATTATTAAAAATTAAAGATTTATGTAATTATTATTTAATTATTATGACTTTATTTATTATCAAATATTCTTTTGTCATGACTTTAATTTTTTTTATATTTACATAGAAAAATTGAATAAGACAAATAGTCAAACATTTATAAAAATTAACAGCGTTATAAATTAAAAACGTATGTACCTTTCGGATATTGCAGTTTCAAATGATGTGATAGATTAGTGGTGGTTTTAGGAAGTAGAAACTCTAAATTTTATTCGAAATTTAATTGCTGGACAATAACTTTTAAACTATATGTTCCTATCATATCGTGGCTTTCGCTGACGTAGATTTACATTGGACCAGTAGTTAGCCTACTAGTACCATATATTAGCTCACGCCAACATAAATCTTGGATATATATATATATATATATATATATATATATATATATATATATATATATATATATATATATATATATATATATATATATATATATATATCCATGGCTGAAAAATACCTTTTGAGGTTTGGACTTTGGATTGAACATTGGAAGCCGAAAATTGTTTTGGAACACATGAGTTTCAAACTTTTTTTTGAAAGCACTGAGTAAATCAGTACAGCTCTACAAACCGTGCAAAACATGACGGAATTCACAACATACTAGTACAATTCATTCGGAAAAAAGAAATACTCCTACTAAGATATTAGTAGATATTTATTATATTATTATTTTCATATAAAAAGAGACAAGATAGAATATTGCAAATGGAGCCCATCGCTGGCCTCCTCATTAATGGATTAGGCCCATATTTAGGAGTTTATTCCCCCTAGTCTTGGACCCGTGCGATCGGTGGGCTTGGGACATCTCGGCCCATGAAAAGCCCGTGCAGTTTTTGCAATTAGGTCCCCGATATCTCCGGAACATTCCAGAACCCCCTTCCCTTACTTTTGCCCTTCCCCTCCCCTCGCTTCGCCGGCCGTCTCGCCGTCGGCGCGCGGGACAACGCCGTCACCGCCGCCGCTTCCCACCCTCTCTCTCGATTCCCTGCCTGAGCCGGAGGCACGCTCCGGCCGGGCCCTCTCCCCCGCCACGCCGCCTCGGACGCGCGCGGCCGAGGAGCTCCTCCTCGGCGTTAGCACCGCTGCTCCTGCGGCCGGTTGGATCATCCGCGGGAGGCGACGCCGGCGAGGTGTAGCAAGAGGCGACTTGGGGATATGGTACGAGCTCTCATGACCTCTCCTGCCCCTATTAGGTTTAGTAAAACTTCCCTCTCCCTGTAGCTTCATTCACTGTCACAGCTTGGGTAAACCTAGATTTTTCTCTCTCTTTTTTTTTTTGGTTTACCCAATGTATGCTCGCATGGAAAGTATGAACGTATGCTAGTGAATTGGTCTGAAATGTAGGTTCGTTTTAATGGAGCATCAGGTTCACACTGATAATTGTTTCTTTTTGGTGGAATTAACTTGTCTCGATGGCATAGTTCGAGGTTACTTTTAGGATGCATCAACTAATTCGATGCGATTGCGCAAGATGAAAAGATGTCTCCAATTCGAACCTATATATCTATTGTCAGTGTTTGAGTTTGAAATGAAGTGGTTTTTCTCTTGTGTCTGGGGGTTTTGGTTCAGTAATAAATCAGAATATACTGTCTGCAGGAAGCTAGGGCAAGGACATACGGGTCTTCAGGAGCTTCCCCAGGAAATCTGGGTGATCGGTACGACAATTATGCGAACTACTCAAGCTACTTAAATGATGAGCCAATGCCTGATGCCGCATCAGAAAAGGAACAGGTTGGGATTAAGTATTGCATCTCTTGCTACTCTGTTCAAACTTTAGACTGTTGTAGAGGGACAATCCTTTGAAGCTAAAACATTGGTTGTTCTGTTTGATTTTTTTTCAGGGTAATGAGTATTTCAAACAGAAAAAGTTTGCCCAGGCTATTGAGTGCTACTCAAGAAGTATCGGACTGTCTCCTTCAGCAGTTGCTTTTGCAAATAGAGCTATGGCATATCTTAAACTAAGAAGGCAAGTAGCTGCAACACTGTGTTTGCATTCGCTAGACTATGGTGTTCATTAATATGATTACAGATACTTAAAAACCTTAGTTGGATCTCTATTCTGGAACCATTATTTAATAAGTACTAGCTACCAACAATTTCAGACTGTAGATATGCTTTTATGCTACTTGTGATGCGTTTCATATTTCTGCTGATATACAATTTCGATGTGCTTTTACATTTGCTCTTGGTGTAGTCTTATATTTTTTTATGTGATATTCACTAGGTTTGAAGAGGCAGAGAATGATTGCACTGAAGCTCTGAATCTTGATGACCGCTATGTTAAAGCATACTCACGCAGAATTACAGCAAGAAAAGAACTTGGGAAGCTTAAGGAAGCAATGGATGGTATCCTATTTTTGGCCACCAGTCTTTCCTTTTTTAGCTTAATTGTTGTCTTGATGAACACTGACAAGCAGGTCCATACAGATGCTGAATTTGCTGTCAGTATTGATCCTAACAATCCAGAGCTCAGGAAGCAGTATTCTGAGATAAAAGAATTACACATGAAGGTGAACAATCTTTACTTCAGAATTTTCGTCAGACATCTGATTTAAAATAGCTTTTGTGTTACTAACAAAGTTTTGTGTTGATTCCTATCCTACGAAAGTCAATATTAATGTGTTTTAATTCTGCAGGAAGTGGCTAACAGAAGTAAGCCAACCAAACATACAGTTTTTAAATTTGATAAATCTGGAGATAAAAAGGACACTTCCCATGCACCAAGTAGTTCCCAGAAGGTAGGTTTGTAGATTTACAGCTTCATGATACTTATGTAGTTTTCATTGTTTATCATCATGTGTAATAATTAATTTTCTATTAATGAGGTTTAAACTATGCACTTATTAATGAGGATTAACATGCCTGCCCTAACACATTCAATGCACCTAGTACATGTCGTGCACATGGCCCAACACTTTTGAACTCACCTTGTTCTGTTTATTTATAGTTGGTTATGTTCATCATGGGTATAATCAGCTAATTTGTTTTGTTGTGTAATACCTGATGCATTTGCATTCTACAGGACAGTTTCATGGAAGTTGATCCGCCTAGTAGAGTTGCAGTGGAGATTAGAGAGAAAGCAGATGGTACATCCAAAGGTGGATCTGGAGTAATCTTCAAAGACAGTACCGTACAGGTGTTCTTTTGCTACATTGTTTTTCCAGCTATATAACAAACATGCACTTTGATTTGAGTGTTGGTATACTTCTCTAGTTATACCATGCATAGTTAGCGCCATCTATGATAATGTGCTACATGAGGCAGTTTGTAGGCCTCATGTATTACCTACATATCAAGCCACCAGTGACTTAGTAGGCCTGCTGTCTTCGTACCATTGACTCTGCATCATGTCTGCTTGAGTTCCAGCACAGCTTGCATCACCCCTTTACTTTTCCTGCTTGGTTTACACCTTGCCTCTGGGCCTCTGGCGTTGCCACTATGGCTCACAGTCAGAATTTGCACTTCTTATTTCATCGTTATATTGTGCTTCTCATGAAAGAACTGGCCCCCACTGAAAATGGACAAGCACCTTCATGTGATAATGTCAGAAGAGGACATGGTTGGTGGTAGCATGATCTGTTGCAACCTTAGGTTGTGAATCAGTGTGCTAGGGCTGTAGGCAAAGCAAAGGAGTTCTGCAAAGTTTGCAGGCTTCGTGTTAAACAATCATGATGTGCATTCTGCTTGGTCGTTGGACCTAAGAACCATTGGTAGTACAGGTAGATTTTTCACAGTTCTGTGTTTTCTTATGTTATGTTTCAATTAATTGGTGCAGCCATCTCGAGATGCTAAACAGAAGCCTGGACCAGAAGCATCAATACAAGATCTTGCATCTCGTGCTGCTTCACGGTATATGGCCAGCACTGTAAAAAGTGTGAAGACACCAAAAACAGCATATGATTTTGAGGTTTCTTGGAGAGCTCTCTCTAATGACACTGCCAAGCAAACACAGTTATTAAAGGTTTGTTCCTAGTCCTTCTGTTCTCTACTGTTGGATACCTTTGCTTGCTCATTCTTGATGTGCAAATTTCTTATTTGTTTTGCAACCAGTCAATTCCACCATCAAGCCTACCAGAGATTTTCAAGAATGCACTTTCAGCTGCTTTTCTGATTGATATCGTGAAGTGCACAACCTCAATTTTCCGGTGAGCTTATCTGTTTTATGCTTGGTACTGGTTTGGAACCATGGCTGCTTTTGTTAATACTAATTACATACCCAGGGAGGACACAATGTTAGCTGTTAGCATTTTGGAGAATTTGGCAAAAGTTCCCCGTTTTGACTTGATAATCATGTGCCTTTCATCCATGCATAAATCTGGTAAGTTTGATCTTGCAACCCTTTGTTATCTTCATTTGTCCATCATGCCTGGCAGTTACTTATTGTCAGGACATTCATGAGAAGCATAGGCAAATAAAATGATTTTTGGAATGCGATAGTAGTAATTTGTTGTGTTCGGCCATTCCTTTATGGATAGTTAGTTTAAACTTTGAAGTGCACAAAGATTATTCGAAAGTTTTTTTTAATGTAGTCAGCACGACATCTTTAGAAAATACTCTACTTGCTGATGCTTTTTTCTTTTCTTTTGTCACAAGAATTACGGAAGGTCTGGGATCAAATATTCCTTGCTGAAACTGCATCAGCGGATCAGGTTGAAGCCCTCAGGCAACTTCGAGCCAAATATATTCAGGAAGGATTGCAGGATAACATGTTCACTTCAAATTAATGATGCTGATGCTGAGACAGCTCGTTAGAAACCTTTTACGCTCTAGCCAATTGATATTGTGTAACACCCTTTTCCTGTAGAAATGAAATGCTAAACTCAGTGTGGGGGGTAGTCAATTAATGGTGGAAGTTATAAAGTTGTCTCAGAAACATCCATCAAAGCATGCGATTGTGAAGCTCATGGACCTTTGCTGGCTGAAAAGGCTGTACCTTCATATTCTTGATGCATATGTGCCCCTGGGGCCAGGGTTGCCGAGTTCTGCCTGTCTCTATACCCTGATGTAGCGGATTCCCTGACACTGACATCCTGTTATGTCGACACAGGTGGATTCGGCAGTAATTTTGTTGTGCAAATTTTGCATGGATAAGCATTCAGTCTTTTAATAGAACTTTAAATATCAATATATCTTTTTTGAAATTTAATCTGACATGCGAAAATCATAGACGTAGATTTGTTTGAAAAGAGCTCTCATAATATCATAGTCCTGATGGAATTTACATATATTGTTACAGTAGATGTTAGTAGTGCTCGAAGTTGCATGGGGAAGATAATATCTATGCCTAAAATTAAGTGATTGGAGATAATAAATCTTACCAAGTTTATTAAAATTGAGCACATAGTACTACTTACATGCATTATATAGACCCCCAAAAAAGTCATGATAGAATAATTTGCCATTAGCATTTCCCTACAACAGTGTTCTTGCATCAGAGAAGCTGCACTCTTGGACCATGAAAGATAAGCTTGGCAAGGGAGATGCAGACACTGGGAGCTCCTCAAGCTCATCAAAGAAGTCACAGCTCTCCTCTTCACCGGACAGCTTGGAGGATGCAACTGTTACTACCTCAGCAAGGGACATGCCATTGCTGAGAGGATCACTTGTGTCAGGATTATGTGCCTGTTCTTGGACTGAATTTGTAGTAGTAGCAGCATAGTTGTCATGGTTGTGATCTGAGGTGTAGGTGATGATGAGCAGAGATGCATCATTCCTGCACTTGTCTACTTGCTTCCTGGCTGGGCATCCCCTGTAACTGCTGCACTTGTAGTAGCCTCTGGATACAGCATGATCCACAAAAAGAGCAAAGATAATGGATTGATACAAGGAAAAAAATCGTACTAGTAATTGATCAGACAACCTGATTCTTGTGAAATTATCAGTGATGTAAAGAATCAGTGCACATGCAAAAGATTGTGATATTACAAGAACATTCGGTGCAGTATAAGTATGAGGAATTAGTGCAAGGTGATGATACCTTGGATGAGGAGATCCTTTGATTGGTTTCTGCCCATATTTCCTCCAGGACCAACTGTCAGCAGGTGGCCCTTGCTCAACCTTATGATCTTTCAAAGACACCACAACCTTCTGAACATCCTGCCTCCTGCAACAGTAACAAAGATAGACAGCTGCAGTGACAACACAATCACAAGAGAATTTGCAGAAGCAGAAGCAAAGGATATAGGTGCTAGCTAACACTACCTTCTCTTGGGGACACTGCCATCAGCTTTCATGCTGCTCATCTTTGTCATTTCTGCAACACTGACTACACAAGCATATGGCAGCAGGTGGAGGAAGAAGAGATATAGCTGGTGAAGAGATAATAGCAATGGCACTATTACTCTGAAGGGCACAGAATATGTTAGTGAACAGTGAGATGATATAGTGACTGCCAAGTGCCAACACCACACCACAAGTTGGCTGAAAAAGGCTGGAGCAAGTTGCTGATCTCCCTCTCTGCCTTGCTACTCTTTTCTTTTCTATGTTTTCACTGTCCAATAATTGAATGCAATACTGAAAATGTTCAGGGTTACTGTTTCAGAGCCTCACCACCATTTTCCTGTGAGTTCAATGATGATGTGGACTCCTGCAAGCCTCTCTTACAAAGTAGTGGTTGCAATTTTGCAGGTGTGATCCTTGTGATTTTCCATGGGTGAACCAAATTACTTAATGACTTGAATATATGATATATCTATTTAATGAAGCTAAAATAATAGTTTTCTTTATGAACATTTTGATTGGCCATGCACAAACAAACAGCATGATTAGTTATTTAGTTTGTCTTGAAGAGTACTCTAGTACTAATATATTACTAATCCTGCTAGTATTATTAGGTCTTACAAATATTCTATGTTCTGTAGAAAGCTACGTCTATATCAAAGCAATAATTATTTATGACTTGGGTGAATAGTATTAAACATGTAAAATCACGTTGCAGTTGGAGGCTAGCTAGCTGTCAACTGTACCTCCGTTTTGTTATAATTTAGAACATCGATATGATCTATAACATGCACCTTTAATGGTTACTTTTCTTATTCATTTATCCGTGAAGATATAATGAAAGTACATTGATATCAAATTATTTTTCATGAGAAATCTACTTATATCATTTTCACTGGACAACTCTCGACTTTTTTTGTATGTTAATGACAAAACGTATTCTTAAGATTTGATTGTGCAGTAAAAATGACAATTGCTCGAAAATGGATGTAATATAAAATAGAGTAAATTATAAATATCTTTCTCACAATGTTTTTTTTAATCCAAATCGATGTATTTGAGACCATTTTGAAAGCAAGCTTGTTTCAAGAATTTAGGATCAACTGGATCCGTAGGTCGGCCAATATAAACTTCCCCGTATCTTAGCGGAGGAATGTTGTACTATCAATTATTTTACAACCATTCTCTATCTCGCTGGAGTTTTTAAGGTCCCAGTTAGTTAAGAACTATAATAAAATCAAACTATTATTATTTTGAGTAAGGTGTTTGTCTAGACTTTCTCATCACAGTATTTTCTTATTTTCTTGTAATCCATTTAGGTTTTTACTCCTCCTTACTGAAATATAATTGGCAGCTCTTCTACGGATTAGTTTTTCTTTTAAAATAAAGTGTTAGCATATGTTCCCTTAAAAAAGAAAGAAAAAGAAGAGCAAACTTGTGATCATCAAGCTGCCCATGAGAAGAGGCTTGAATGCATTTCAGCCCATGAGAATCTTTTCGGCCCATCCAACTGCTGGGCCGGCAGATTCCTCTTCCTCTCGGTATTCAAAGGACATGTGTACTTACAGTTCAACAACAAGCAGGGCACTTTCACCTCTGGGGCTTGAGTCGAGCCGCCAGCGTTGGTAAAATTTCCCCTACGGCTTGTTTGTTAACTCGAGGGAAGGGGATTGGGAGTTTATATGAGGGAATTGATGATGAGATTAATATGGAAATTTGATTTTTAATCCCAATATCTTGTTTGGTAGATGTGATGGAAATTGATAGGGAGTTTAGTTGGAGATTAGGTTATTAATAAAAACGGATGGCTGAGATTTGCTTAGACAAAGTAAAGGAGGAATTCCCTCCCAATTACCTGCCCCTACCTAGGTATTGAAAAGGAGGGAGTTCCTTCCTCAATTCTCCATCCCCATCCCACCAAAATTCCCATGTCTCCCAACCAAATAAAACACTTAATAGCCTCATCCCTCTAAACTCCCAATCCCTCTTAAAAACTCCCTCCAACCAAACGAACCGCTAATCTTTCGATTATTATTCCCCAATGGTTGCTATGTAGTTTGGGTTCATTGGGTGCGGTAAAATCTCAACTTGGTAGATGGGTTGTTCTTAGGTTATTCCAATTCAAGAACCATTCTTTCGATTACTATTTCCCAATGGTTGCTGTGTTGTTAGGGTTCATTGGCTGCAGTAAAATCTTAACTTGGTGGATGTGTTGTTCTTAGAATATTCCAATTGAAGAACTGTGCTGGGGAATATAATAATGCAAATCCTAGTTTCATTTCGTTCCAATTGTGAGTTTTTGGTATTGAATCCTGGGTGATTTGTAAGCTTGTGGATTTACTTATTAAGTATCCTGACTTGCTGGCAGTAATTTTTTTGGGGTGCATGGATTGGATCATAATCCAATATTAAAAGGAAAAAAAATAGTTCCTTTATTTGTTAGATGTTCTATATTGTTGCTATATATGTGATTCGACTCATTGCAATGGGATTGACTGTTTTCATATGAGACATTTGCAATAACAAGAGTTTTCTTCTTCAAATCCTAGTTAAGCTGTTTCTTGCCTCTTGAATACATTTAGATCAGCAGCAGAACTGCAGAAGTAAACCAGGCTTCATACATTTCTGTCCTCTTCCAAAAAATAAAGAAAAGGTACATCTTTGTGATTATTAACTACATGAGCCTTTTCAAACTATATAATACAAAAGGTGCACTAGAATATGGATATCTCCTTTGAAGATATGATGTTATCAACATGTTAAAGCAATAGTCTTTTTTTTAAGAGAATGAAAGTAAAAGCAATAGTATTAAACAGTTCTATTGCTCTTTCCCTTTTTACATGAAGTGCACCACAGATCATTGATGTTTGAATGATCAAATCTAGCTTTCCTGTGGAAAGGAGCAGCTTGGTTCTTTTCTTACTGTCCTTCCTCCCTTTTTTCTCTTCTTTATACTCAAGGCCATGAACTTGTCATTCAGGCAATATAGATGATTATCTCACATAGGTTTTTCTGAACCTGGTAGTCAAAGTCACAAAACCATGGGCAAGTTTATGTTGGATTATAGGTTCTGCATATTTGCTTTTTTGTCAACCACTGAGCCACATTGGCACTAATTAGTTTGTTGTTAAAGATTTTGATTTTGCATATGCTGATTCACCATTTTCTGTTCAAATGTCATTTATTAGGTAGTAATTCATAGTGGCGACAAAGTGGTGGCTTCCCAAACTACCATATCATCTCCCTATTCTTGCTGTCCATATGTGGCTTTGACAGTGAATACTGAATGGCAGTAATGGTGATAATTATCATACTAGTTTGATCAGAACAGAAATGCTTATGTTCATTCCTGAATGTAGATTCTCTCTAGCATCATCTCTTGCACTTTGTGTTGATAGCTGCAATAAAGATCTGTATTGTGTTGTTAGGTGGCTGATAAGGTTTCAACTAAAAACAAAAGGGGAACTGATGAATTGCTGAGCAATGCAAGATTTCAGGTAGATCAGCTGTGGCCCACTTAATGCCCAATTTGTTGAGGCCCATGCTTAAGAAAGCTGCCAATCTTTCTCTTGCAGATAAGGCAAGGTAAGCAAAGATTTGGCTCCATGATATAGTTTATTATTACTGCAAGTGTCAGCTACTGCATCAAAGAATCCAATTAGGCATCTGAAGTGGCCCAAATTTATCCACCTACATTGGGGAATCTGATCTCACTTCCCAAATACAATTTATAAACAAAGATGTTTGATAAGGGACAAAAAGGCTATGATGTGCCGACAATGTATTATGCTTGACACTCCTTTTGGCTTCCACTTACTGCTAATTTAACTAGAGTATTCTATGTGGTAGATTCTTGCTCTTTCCATCTGTTGCAATGCCATGTTTCTTCCTTGATTCTAGTGTTTATCCCCTTGCTACTTTGGGCAACTATTCCTTCCTCCAATACTTGGACTAATGATTATATCATTTGTTGGACCTAACAATCATGCAAGACTCTCCTCAAGTTGACACGCATTCTTAATTACTAATGAAACCTTAAACAAGAACTACTTGAGACAATGTGCCCCCTGAAGTTTTTTTTTAAATATACCATCATCCATCTCATAGTTCCACTAGGATATGCCCCTTTTCTTCTCTTTTCTTTTCTTTTGCTCCAGTTATCTGAATCATCACCTCTGAACATGCATTTGGCCAACTCTAGAAATGCAAGTTCCCCTGAAAAATGCTGCAAATACTTTGACAGCATCTTGCAAAATGAAACCTCCCAAACTCACATGGTTTCTTTTATTTTAGGAAAAAGAACAGAGAACCAAAGATTTGTAAAAGATTAAAGTGTGAAACCAGGTTCTTGTGGCACCCGAATGTGCAAGAAACAAAGTAATTGGCCTCTTCAAATGGATCTGGCATGATATTCCTACATATCAGGGGACACCAAGTGATCATCATTTGCCATCCTGACATCATGCTAATTTAATAATCTCCATTTGCTGATATTTTAAGGGTGTGCAAATCTCTAGGCTTTCTTGGGACTTTAAGATGGGCATTATATAAAATCACTCTATCATGATGAAGATGGTAGAGATTCGAAAACGAGAGGAAGCCTGTGCTTTTGTTTGTCTTAGCTCCCTACTACTAGCACCTTGCTTTTCTTTAGTTTTAGCTGCAATTTAAAAGGTATACCTGCCAGGCTACAAGTTCCAACCTCCAAACTCCAAAAAAGCCACAAAATTTTGCTCAAAACATACAAACTGAGCTGTCCAAATTAACATTGGGTTTTGGAATTCTGTAATAGTATTTCAATCTTATGGAAAATTTCCTACTGTCTGAAGAAACACATGACAAATACAATTTCCTACATATACAGAGATAGTGCAGGGTTTACAAAACCGATGAAAACCGGTCCAGACTTCTGGACCAGATAAAAACACAAACCGCTCGGTTTTTCAGTCAGGTTTTTAAAAAATAAACTGAATATTAAATCCGAAGGTATTACTTGTGAGCCGTTTGTTATCCCGTATAGGAGTATTATGCAAGAGCTATCAGCTATGCTCTGTGATTACCCTATGAATACAGTTACTCTTACTTCCTGTCATGACAGCTACTCCTACTTGATCGCATACTAGTAATGACCTGTGATGACTGATGAGACTCGAGCTATGCTGGAGTGGAGTCAGAGATGATCGTTACACATG